GACACAATTTAATTCTTCGTATTGTTAGCCGACACTGGGCAGCTGGTACATAATTGAATAAGTAGAGTTTTTTAAACATTTGTTGGCTAACAATACGAAGAATTAAATTGTGTCAGATTACTACAAGTTCTTCAAATACCTATAGAATGATAGGTTTCTTATTTTGTGAGTGTAAAACACGTAAATACACCAGTTTAATAAGATTGTAGTTTATGGCAAAAATTATTATAAAATAGGCACTCTCAATATGATACATCGTACAGTTCTTTTGGCTACTGTTAACTTTCCATAATTTTACCAACCATTTACCTGCTAAAATGTAAATTATGTTAGGACATATAAGGACAACAAAGGACCACTCAGTACTTCAAGGTTTTTCCCTCTAAACCCATCCCCTAGAAAAAGGGAAGTAAAATTTAAAATAATCGTTTATTTCTCTGGATATTATTAATCATCTTATTAAACTAACTATCCCCTGTTGGAGACAATAAAGCTGTCTTAATTGAACCTACTCTGTCTTTTCCAAATTTTAAACTTATGCTTTCTCATTGTATTGCCTTTCAATTAAAGAAAGAATATATAAAAATCTGAAGCCTTTATCCTATCCATCCTGCAGATATTCTTGTAAACTTCAATAAGATTACATCTTACACTTAAAAAATAATTTAAGGTCTTAATGCATCCCCATAAGACGACCTTTTCATTCCTGGAATTAAACTAGTTAGGCCTCCACTGAACCCTTTCAACCAAATTAATCTATCTTCTAAGATAAGGAAATCAAAACTATGTACACAATATTCCAAGTTAGGCCTAGTTAGTTTTCTATAAAGAGACAACTTCAACGCTTTCATATGCATCATTCAATAGCTCCTGAAAATAGATATGCCAACAAGTTTTTAAAATAGGATCACAAATAATAACGAAAATCTTGAGGGAGTTGTTTAAGGTTATTATGATATTAGGCTTAATAATAAATCATTAGGTTTAACTTACTGTTGTTTTGAAGTGATAGTGCTAAGCTACAAAATCATGTTACTAAATATTACATTAACATAAAGAATAATAATGTATGTTAGTTAAGTAAGGAGAATTTACCATAAGAGATGAAATTATTGTTAATATTATTTAAAAGCAGTTGAAAATTTAATACATTAGTAAATTACTTAAATTAGCATCTGTAACTAGAGATGTGATATACATAATAGCTACAGTAATAGTAATACTATCAGTATTCCTTAAGAGAGAACTTTAGTGTTAAATTAAAGCCACAAGCGCACGTTTACTCAAGTGATTAAAAACTTATTCAACAATCTCCCAATCTCTAGTAATCGATGCTTACCTATATAATGGGTACTAACCCCAAAAATATTTAAAACTGTAAGATATCATTTCAAAATATATCCCATAATACCTCAAATGAACAATACAGTAGAACATCCACATTAATGACACCCTTCTGACTGCATCCAAATGCCCTCTATAGCAAGGTGCCCTTAATATCAAAAATGAGCCATGCAAAGAAAGCAACAAATCACCACTTGTTTCATTAGACTGTTTACATGACACCATAATACGATACTCATGTATTGAACCAGACTATGATGTAATCATCAGTCGACTACAGCCCTCCACCAACAGAAAGGTGACACATCTTTTACGTGCATAATCCCCATGAGCACTACCATTTTAACAAAGGCAAAGTGGAAGCAGGAGAGAAGGGTGAGAGGTTGTGCAGAAGGGTGAGTAATTATCTAACATACATTTCCAGGTGAAGAAGTTTTAACTTTAGAAACATTTACTCAAGAGCTGTGCAACAGCTAGAATCCCACATTGAGAAGACAGTGGAGGAAGCCAGCACAGGTAAAGAAATTACTAAGGTATGCTTCTTTCTGAAAACATAGCATCAGAAAAAGGAAACCCCACTGAGGAACGGTCATTGGGTAGGGTACTACACCCATCTCAAGAAGGGAATACCTTTTGCATGAAGTGCCACACAGGCGAGTTGAATGTAAGATTGCTCAACCATCAACTGGCCCATATCTCGGAGGCAGTCGGTTGAACACAAGTGTGTAGGTGGCTAAGGCAATAAGTCTAGCCATTCTGAATTGGAGAAATACTTATGTAAGATACTTACCAGAATAATCATGTGTAGTAAGAAAATATCCCAGACTTGCATCTTGAGGAGAACAGAAGACTCATTCAGCTGGACTAATCACCGAGAAAGGTTTGGTTCAGTACGACACTTCCAGGAACACTTCCCACTAAGGGTGTATTCACTCCGTCTTACACCAGTGAAATTACAGTAGGGAACTATACAATAACTTCTTCAGCAACTTAGGCCTGACGAAACAAAGGTTCTCTCTTATTGCACTAAAAAGAATAGGAGGTAGGAACTTACGTGGGGAAGAACACTGGAAAGGTGCTCATATCTAATAGGAAACATCACATCGGATGATGTCCCACAGTGACAGACTGTGCAATGGGTTCCCAATAATACAGACAGCAAGTTCTAGCCAGGTGTAAGGGCAGGTACACACCTGGTGCTATCATGTTCTTTTTTATCTTTGTGAAGCAGGGCCAGGAAGAGAAACTATATATATAAACCACTAAAGCAGTATTGGAGAAAACGTCATCTCATTTTAGATACTCTCTCACTCAATACAAATTTTGGTAAAGAGAAATATTCCCCGAGAGACATCACCAGCCACTTGGTGGGTTCCTGGTCTCTGGTTGTATATACAATGATAAAGGCCTCCATTTCCTCTTTGCTACATTCTTAAGAGAATAGAACACAAGTTAAATATTTGGAAAAAAGCTAATCTCCACTTAAGATCTATTTATTTTTCTAACAGGGCTGTTTGACTTACAGAATGAGGCAGCACTTTACAGGACTTTAAAGATGAAACGATAATTTCCTGAAAAATAAAAGATGTGTTTAAATATTTACTTTTCTTAAGGATGGACACGCAAGGACCAAACAGTTCCTTAATGTCCACATGATACATTAATCCTACCTGAATTTATTAACATTTTAAACCCTGTGATCATAACTTGTAAGTGTTCTACAAGCTGTTCTTACATCAAATGTAGATGCTTGATGTTAGAACAACTTGTAAATGTGTTGTTATACTTGTAAGTGTTCTACAAGTTGTTCTAACATCAAACATCTACATGTTGTTATACTTGTAAGTGTTCTACAAGTTGTTCTAACATCAAACATCTACATGTTGTTATACTTGTAAGTGTGCTACAAGTGCAAAATGACATGTATTGGTCAACATTTAATCATAATCTCATTATAATGTCATTACTGGATAAGTCACCTGAAGATATAAATCATTACCATTCAGCTTCATTCCGAATATACTGAGACAAATGGGAAAATAATAGCTTGGATCACACATTTAACAAAGATGGAACCCCCTCCACAGTTAACCTATCTTTTCATAGTTCTGGATAAATCAGTGAAGCTATTGAAACAGTACTTTGCTAGTGGTTGAAAAGCAAACAGAAATTTATTGCCTATGTTAAATACAAGTAAAGAAAGAGGTAAGAAACTGCTAGATATACCTCACAGTTTTGGTCTCTCCATCTACGAAAGGATATTAAATTATTGGGAAGGGTCCAGAGGAGGTCTAATTATGATGATTCCAGGTATGGAAGAGTAGTCTTTAAGGGATAGGTTCAGAACACTTAACCTAGGATAAGGCTTCTGATTTCTTTGTGCTATATTCTGAAAACAACAGAATGAGAGAACACATTATCTTTAAAAATGTGATTGGCTCCATTTAAAACAGATTTATTTTTCTAGCAGGGTAATCAACTTATGGAATGAGTTGCCATCAGCAGTAGTGGAGGCCAGCATTTAAGAGGGTTATTGGTGATTTCCCGAGAAATAAGGAGGGGGAGGCATGATTGAATCCATAAATTCTGATGAAAAATTTCAGGAGGACGTAAGTTTAAGATATGGAAAACTCGTACACAACTTCAGGTAAGGTAGTTTGTGTTACTTTTCTAACAGGCTAGTCAATCTACAAAATGTTTGTCTTCAGTTTTAGCAAACGCTGCAACATCGGAGGAGCTTAATAGAACATTGAATTAGTATTTTAGATATCAGAATTGGACATAAGAAAAGATGTTGCTTTGTATAGCCTGGAGTAGGTTGTTAAAAAAAAAGTGAATAACCTAAATAGGCTAAATGGTTTCCTGAAAATAAAATGTGACATACTAAAAGAACTGAGAAGCAGAAAATATACCAGTCGAGAGCACTTTGTAGTAACACTGCCAAAAGTCCTTTGTTTTTTACTGCATTCAACGTACTTTCTGGTAATCTTCATTTCAACTCGCAACATCTAATACGAGACAAACACTAATTCATGCCGCCATCTTGCAACTGATGTATTCCTAAATAATGATTAAATGGACTGTATATGTCTGCTTTTGTCTTAAAGCTCCACCATGACCATGTTATGTACTGTTGCTGTGGTAACAAACAACAACATACAAGTGTTCAGTTGAGTACATTAACTTTATATTAAAACCTTTAGATGTTTATTAATAGAAGTATTAAATGTATTTACTCTTTTGAACTTTTTTGTTGGTGTTGTTTTCATTTATTACGTGCCAAACCATTTTAAGGCATCAAATATACAATAGAAAATACCTCCTTGGCAATAATGTTCACCATTCAACCATCCATATTAAATTCATAATAGTAGTCTAAATACAAGTAGCAGTAAATAATGTTTTGTTTTTAGTTTAGCTACTTTAACACAGCCTTTCTAGGAACAGTAATTCACGTTTGGAATTTTAAAAATAATAATTTTGTGTATAATACTGTCGATTTAGAAAAAAAATGATACTCAGTAAAAATGAATAAAAAAACACCCAAGTCTCAACTAACACAAGTTTTAAAGTTTAATTATAAAATTAAAACTTAAACTTACAACATCTCCTCACTCTCGATCTCATATTTCCTAAGTTTCACACTTTCAAGCCGACAGACTAATATTTACTCAATTATAAGAACTGTAGTATTCAAATTAAATTTTACCACTTATCATCATGGCAGAAAATCAGAGACACCACCTTAGGTCCAGTAAAAAAAATTAATATCTTCTTCTACAACAGACAGATGTTCAAGATCATATACTGTACAGTAGGCTGTACGCCTACCGCTTACACTCCCAAATTATACTGGGCTCGGACGTAAGGTGACATATTCGTTCGCCTACAAATCGACGAACCAAGGTGTAAAGTATTTAAAAAAATTATATGAAGAACTTCTATAAGTGACAAATGGGAGATTATTTTATATACTTTTTTAATAAACAGGTATGAATTAAAATTAAATTTGTTATTTCAGTGGGTTATTTGTAATATATCTTAATAAGCTTACCGTGAAAATAGTGCCCCTTGAAGATCCATAACGCCATCTCGTGATCAAACTTACATTAAGACTGCAGATGTCACTACAATTTTTGAAAGTTGCTTAAACCAAAAAAACATTTTGATTCATCATAAAAACAATTTCTTAAGCGTACTTAGTTTTGTTTGTTTTTTAATGTACGGTAATGAGAAATTTGTCAATTTTGTGGAAACCATTGTAATTTTGTTGTATCTACAAATAATTTTTTTTCATGATAAATCAGTAAGTATTTATTTCATAAAATAATACTTTTTTTTTCAAAACTTTTGGGGTCGCATCACCCTTCACCAGTGATAGAAACCTTTCGTGATGTTTTTATCGTTGGTTGGACATATAATTAATTTATTGAAGAAAGTAGCATTTTCAGAAACAATGCAAACAACGACTATTTATTCTTATAAAGCAGAAGAAAAAATATGGTCTAGCAAGAAAATCGAATAGCTCAGTTGTTGTTGCTCCCGGTGGCACAGCGGCATGTCTGCGGACTTACAATGTTAGAAACCTGGTTTCCATACCGTAGTGGGCAGATCACAGATATTTTGCTTTTATGGTATTTGTTTTGTTTTGTGATATTATTCTCCTCAAATGAACCTACTTCTTCTGATCATCTAACAAATATCAGTTAATTTATGCCTTTTTTCCTCTCCTACCTATCAGAAATTTTAGGGTTCCAAGTTAAAAGTTCTCAAAATATTTTTGATTGAAATTAAACGGTTCGTGATGTTCTGAAAGTTTCGATTTTGCCAAAGCATGTGCCCCCCCCCCCCAATTAGCACGGCGATAGAATCCGGGTTTCGATACCCGTGGTGGGCAGAGCACGGAGAGGCTATTGTGTAGCTTTGTGCTTAACTTCAAACAAACAAACAAAAAATATGTGTTTTAATATTGCAATAACAGATTTCTCAATGACATCCTTCTCTTTCAGATGTTATAATTATAGATCTCGTCTGCCTATCCCTTCTCCCTGTGGCTTAGCGGTAAATCTCAAGGCTTATAACGCTAAACACCGGTTTTCGATACCCGTGATGAGTACAGCACCAATAGTCCATTGAGTAGTTTTTTTTGCTTAAGTAAAAAAAAAAACAACAAAAAAACGATAGCTCTCTTCTTCATTTTTGGAAACTAATTGCAGGTGTTTTGTGATTTATTGAGTATCTGGTTCTGTATGATCAAGATGAAAAATACTATAAAAAAGCTAGCAATACTGTAAAAATTATCTTTCGAATGTGGTTTCAAGCAATCAGAACGCCACATTACATTGTATTTTGTTTTATTGTAAATTGCTAAGTAATATGTTAAGGATATGTAGGAGTATAGGGCTATCGGTGATACATAAAAACAAATCGCGCTTTGCTGCCGTTGTCATGAAAAGGGTTTGTTTTACATATATTGATGGTGATCTTGGTCAAAACTTGTTGCTAACAGTTTACTTATTTCAATGTTCTAAAAAAGTTAACATTGTTTTAGTATACAGGATCCAGCACTTAACAATTAGGAGAATTTGTTAGGGGCCGTCATCCTTGTTCCCATAGTAACAACATGTTTAGGGGTCACCATGAGGAACATTATGGGGGATAGAAAGAAGGTATCTGTACGTGATTTGATTGGTTTCTTGATGTTAACTAGACATGTGATTGAATTCTGGGTGCTGATTCGCTGACGCTCTTTGCAGAAAGAAATTTCTATAAAGCAGACTACTAATCACGTGATTTTTCAGCGCCATCTTGGCGTAGCGCTTGCATATACTACGTATGTACTGTTACCGCCGGTAAGAACTGGTAGTCATCTTGTTTGTGAATATTCCATTACCTTTTTTTGGAATAATTTCATTTAAGATAATCAAAGATTACATTAGCCTTAAGAACAGGTGACGTTTTTCGCTTATTATCAATCTTCAAATATCGCGCTTAATTCAAAAGTATTATTCTCGCGTTTCTTCGTCATATGTTTTTTGTACGATTTAGTGTTGCATACAATATCCCTCTTGTTTTGTTAGGATTTTAGGCTTAAGTCGTAGCAGTGCACATCTATTGACTACAGTGAATGCTTGAGGAAAGTTGTGATTTATATTATTTTAGCTTACCTATGATATTTGTTTTCTTTTATTCATAATTTTTTTTTATTAATGAAGCGGGTCTGATTGTTGTTTACGGTTTCTTTCAATTTTTTTTTTTTAGTATTAGGACTATGGCCCAGTAATCAGGTACAGGTGATACTGTGAATGTGGTATTTTCAAAATAAATTAATGATAACATTAACACCGTTCATCACAATTATTTAGTATTACCAATTTATTTGAGTCTAATAAAAAATATAATTACTGCAATCGCTGTTTCAGTGGAAGAAATGCCTGGTTTATTAAGATAAAATATGAATTTAAATAGATTTGTAAGTATTGTGCTGTTTTAAAATTTGGAAATAAAAGGTGATAATTTCACAAACCCAAGTATTTGGACACTTGTTTATAAATTTAAGTCTTGGAGGTTTTGTGCTTTGGCCTTTATTTATGCACAGTTAGTGTCAACACAGCTTGTTAATTTTTGGATTCATTGAAAGGATAAATGTGAAAAAGATGGCTTGATTTTGAAGCCACGAATGTGTGCATATCAACTCTTGAATTTGGAAATATATTACTTTTCTTAAATGAATAACAGTTATTACTTATCAGATTTTTAAACTAACTATTCAAGCTAGTTTAATAAATATTTGTAGTAGTTGTAAATAGAACTGCTACTCCAAGAAAACCATTTATGACTGATATGTTTTCTGAATTATGAAGTATTTTGATGTCATGTGACTCAACACGTTAACCAGTATGACTGATTTAGACTGTGAATGAGAAATTTGTGCTAATATACTGACAAAATATTGACTTTTTAATGTTAATTGCTAAGATCAGTTCTGACTTCCATATGATGATATGAACTTTGACCTTTTTATATTCACTAGGTAATCTGTTTGCACACTTCTTTTTTATACTCTAAACATATTGAGTTTATTTTAGTTTTTTTTATGATTCTGAATTGAAAGTACTCAAAAATACTGGTATTAGGTATTGACTTACGATATTAGACCCAGACAGTGAAAAAACAGTTTTTTATTAAATGTTGTTGTTTTTTCTAGGGTTAAAGTTTGTTTGTTGACAAGTATTCTCTTGTCAGCACTCTGCATAATGAAATTTTAAAAAAATTTGTAAGGAAATAACTTATGAATTCTTTTAAACAAATTTTACTGTCATGTCTTACAGTTTTGATATTGTAGATTTTCAATGATAACTCTTACCTTTCTTTTCTAAAGAGGAATTAAGTTTAGACATCATGAACATTTCCCTGTGGGATAACCTTTCCATCCCAGGAATAATCTAAGTAGAATTCCTCTAACCTTTCCATCCCAGGAATAATCTAAGTAGAATTCCTCTAACCTTTCCATCCCAGGAATAATCTAAGTAGAATTCCTCTAACCTTTCCATCCCAGGAATAATCTAAGTAGAATTCCTCTAACCTTTCCATCCCAGGAATAATCTAAGTAGAATTCCTATAACCTTTCCATCCCAGGAATAATCTAAGTAGAATTCCTACTAACCTTTCCATCCCAGGAATAATCTAAGTAGAATTCCTCTAACCTTTCCATCCCAGGAATAATCTAAGTAGAATTACTATAACCTTTCCATCCCAGGAATAATCTATGTAGAGATTGTATTTAGTATTGTTCAATAGTACGGCCATGCACTCGCCACTCGATAGATCTTAACCCTAACATTCGTGGATCAACTTCTTTCCTAAAAATATATCTATTATGAGTTAATTTTTTAATATAATGATTAATATAAATAGATATATGATACAGCATGACTTAAGCTACTATAGAAATATAATAAAAGTCACATACATCCCATGCAGTTTTTTCCAGAAGCAAATTTTCTAAGGCTTATAAAAAAATGAATTAGGCTTAGCACTTTGAACTGAAAGAGTCTGATTTTTATATTGCATTTAAATTAGTTGTTTTAAGTTCAATAATTTAGCATAATTTTATATTTAGTTCATAATAAAAATATGATTCAGTATTTAGAATGATAAACTTGTGTGATTTGTACGTAATACTACTAGTACCAGAACCACATAAGAATTTTATTTTTCCTTCTTACTATCTGTACTTCATAGTAAGACCCACACTTCTGTTGTTGTTGCTTTAGAATTAAAACAGTCTAAGTGATATATATAAAGGTTATTCTGATATTTTGCAAATGGTTTAAAACTAAGTTTATAAGTGACAACAATAAAACCCATATGCTGGTTGTGAAACAGACTAAACACATTTGTCTCAATAACTACAGGGAAGCTATGACTTTCTCACAGTTGGGGTTTCAATACACTGATAAGCTTAAGTTTCAAATTCCAACATAAATCTTGCCTATAATGAGAGGAATGTGACCAAGACTAATCTTTTAAGTGCTGTAAAGTAATTGTCTTTGTAATTTATGGTGTCTGTATCGTTTGGTAATCTCTTCTAGCAGGATGTATCATGTAACTAGGGTCAGGTGGTGTTATTCAAACCACCTGTACTGTAAACTATTACATACATTCACTAGTGTTGGAAATTAGTTTTGTATGTATAGTGAAACAACATACACGGACATACGTTGAAATACATTTGTTTGGAAGTTCAAAGAAATGGTATTCTAGTACCAAAAAGCTTTCTTACTATCATATCTACAGTAATGTTCAAATGTGCCTGTACTGGACTGAACGAGAGTGACCACCAACAGGCATGATAGTTTACGGCAAATGTACGAATTATCTGTGAACTTCAATTACATCGATTAGTGTCATGTAAAATAATTTATAAATCAAAATTACAATGAGATCCATTGTTATGAAAATAATCAACTGATCTAAATTAGTATTTTTTTATTATTCTGACTATTCAGTGATCAAAATATTGTAATTATGATTTTTAATTAAACTTTGTTCAACTTAAATTATTAGTGTCATGAGACTTGTAAGTATTATCGACCAATCTAGGTGAGAGTTTCCAGCTATTATTGTGAATTAATCGAATTGCTCAAGTTATCGAAATATTGCAATCGTGTTACTTGTTAAGCGCAAAGCTACTCGACAGGGTTATGTGTGCTCTGCCCACTGCGGGTATCGAAACCAGGATTTTACCCAATGTTTAATGTTATAAATTGTTTGTTAGTCATCTCGTGAGAATAATTGATTAGTGAGCTTGATGATAAGTCAATTAGAAAATTTCACTAATCACCCATCTGTAATCATAATTAATGTGACAGAATAACTACAGTAAGCCTAAATTATAACCAAATATTACTTCTACAGAAACAGAAGAACGGGCAACAAAATAAGAAATACCTTGAAAATTTGATGATCAGGCTATCAGATTATTTCTTATCGCATGCTTTCAAGTTTTGTTAAAGTGAAACCTTTGACATCAACATTGAGCTGCGTGAAGGCTTCAGTCTCGGAGACAAAAGAACCTGTAACCAAAGCAGTTGTGCCTTTACCCAATCAAGTTGTAAATTCAGAGGTTAGTCCTTAATTGTTCAGTGTAATTGTTTACTTCCAAACTAGTGATTTCAAAGTGTTTGATATTGTTTAGGCCTAGTATATTGTAAGATATAACAATAGATGTTCATGTGTAATTAATTACTTAAATGTGTGTATGAATTTATCTAGAATTTGTCTTTTTTTAATACCGAGTTGAACATGCAAAATGCTGATGGTTTGGGATTATGGCCCTTAACTCCATAAAATCTGGGTTTTCACTTTTAGCATAAGTAGTTTTTTTAAACCATTCTTGAGAGAAACTTGGAAAAGTGACAATCTCAAATTTACAGTAACAAGTAACGTGTCTAGTCACGCTAATGTATATTAATTTTCTTTAATATATTATAATTTTCCCATAGTTTTCCATCTAGTTGTCAAATGTCTGGACTCTGAGGAGTGACTAGGGTTAACGGAATGCGTAAATTATAATAATAATACAAATTTTAAAAAGTTTTTTCATATGTAATCTCATTCTGCTTCTCTTTGATTCGCATCACGTGTGTCAATCTTGTATTCTAATATTTGTTTGAAGAATGGAGGATTGTTTGGCTCATTACCAAGATTTTACACGTTTCAGCAAATTACACTGACCCAAAATGTTTTTTTGCCTTAAGTTTTTTGGAGCGTATCAAGTTCTGTGCTTGCTTACATTTTAGCTCCTTTTATTGCATTGTTGTACGACAGATTTTAAAAACTACAGCACATATTTAAATGGTGCTTTAAATAAAATGTTATGATGTTTCTGCTTCGTTGTCCTACTGCCTTTTTTCAAGTTGTGCTTTGAATAAAATTTGACTTTTTTAGGTACATTTTTTTATCACATATTTGATTTGTTATACTGTTTTCAGATATTGATATTTGACTCGGTAAACATAACATTATAGATAACAAGGAACCTGCCCCTGAGATAATGAAAAATTTAAACCCACCCTTTATTTTTTTTAGGAAATCCTCGATTTCCCCCTCTTACAATTTTGGTAAAATGGTGACCTGTACTGCAAGTCATTCCATAAACTAGTCACCCTGTAGAAAATAAAATTGTCTTAACTTCAGATTAATCTAATTTTTACAGATCTGAAACTTGTCTTCTCTTCATGCTATATCGAGAAAACGGCACAAAGAAATCAAAGAATGCTTTCATACTGAACCCCCTGATAATCTGTTTGTTGTTGGAAGATTGTTTAGTTAATCTCTGTCTGCTATTTTTAATAAAATTAGCAGAATTTGTAAAGTTATTTTCTGAGTAGTGTATCAGCCAGTTGTGATGATTGTACCAACAAGTCTCCTGTTGAGTAACAATTTACTAAGCTTCCTTTCGCCAATAGCAATGAAGATATGGAAAGCTGTTACCTCTATTACAACTAGTCCTTTGTATCTCATACATTAAACTTTTGGCTAACATTTTACACTCAGAAATCCTATCTTGTCAAAGTATTAATCTTTTCTCAACTTTGAAATTAATTTTTTTCCACAATAAAAAATGTGATAGATTATCTTGGGTTGCTTACAGAAAAATTACAACTTTGGATAAGAGTGTTTTCCAGTAAGATAGGGACAGTTTGAAGGAGAATAAAAAAATATTAAAATGGTGGCTCTTGTACGATTTTCAAGCCAATGAAAAAATGAATGTTTTTTTTTAAGGACAAAATCATGGTCAACATTTAATTTTGAAATGAAATCTGAGAAATGAGAGAATTTTTTTGTTTTATTCAGTTGTCTTATGGTGGTGTTCTTGTACATTCATGTGATTAACTTTCTCAGCAAAACGACCCCCAGAACATTCAACATCCTGACCGTGGCCTCTCCTACCCAGTGAATATATAGGTATTGAGTAACTTGGTATTCCTCAAAGATTATACGTTGATCAGAAAGCATGTTCCGCACGTTTTTAATTATCAGTAAAGGTATCCTAAATATTTTTTTTTTGTATGAAACAAATGCATCAAAGAGTTATTAAGCATTATAGATTATGAAGTTAACTGAACAGTTTTTTTTATTAAATGGGTTTTAAAAATTAACTTTCTAAAAATTCCTTCACTGCATCAAATCTGTGTGATACTTCACATTACATCTAAACACTATTCACTTATCTTTTTGTTATTTTACGTTCATACCGACATATGTTTTAAAAACAATTTTTTTATAAATAATTTCAATATATCTTGCAAGTAAAAAATGTACGAGTAGACCAAACTTTAAAAGGTTATCCTCTTCAACTCTGTCTCCATTAAAATGATAAAACAGATTAAATAATTTTTTTTTACAGCACAAGAACTAAAAAAATATTTAATTGTAGTTCAGATCGATGCAGAGCTTGTAATTGCACAACGTTGCTCGGTTGCTTCTCTGTTTTAATGGATGGGTGCATAATAGGCTATCTGAGCTCTGTCTGTCATTGTGAATCGAACTCTGATACCCGAAGTTTCTCAATAATAAGGAATGTTGTACTTTTACAACAACAGTAAACAGATCGTGGATTACAGATCTGTAACTCTTCACCTAGTATTACTGCGATAATTATTACATTAGAGATTATATTTTGGTTTGAAGTATTTTTTTTACATTCGATAATATACACGCACAAATGTTGGTTCAATTGTTTAAGAACTAAGTTATTACTTTTCTACTTTTAAATATAAACCATTAATTAAGTCTTGTCCTTGAACATTTGGTTTATATAATCTAGGAAACGTTTGTCCTTCAATGTAACACAGTCTTGTCCTTCAACATTTGGTTTATATAATCTAGGAAACGTTTGTCCTTCAATGTAACACAGTCTTGTCCTTGAACTACAGTCATAATTTTACTAGTGTTTGATGTTTTTGAATATTACTTACAATTAGAAATGTTTTTGTTATGGTCTTGTTTTTATTTGATGGTTTCATTATATTTATGTTCTCGTAACTTATATTTTGTTTTATATGTATTTATTTATAATTGATGACAGTTGAAAATCCAGAAGAAACTAGCTTGTTAAAGGATTTTTTCTACTTGATTTGTTAATATGGTTTGAAGTCATATATTTGAAATATATAGACCAACTTTACATTATTTATCATAAATGATGAAACTTCAAAAGTCTTAGTTCTTATCAACAAAATGTTCAATTGATACACATTATATATCTCGTCTGTCCAACAACTAATAGAATCTTTTGAAAAATTAATTTTTTTTTTTACATATCAAGTAATAATAAGCAGTCATGGGAAAAAGTCTTTTATAATTGTAATATGTTATTGGTAAAAATGACCATGTGAACCACTGGTTGACCTTAATTAGACATTGGTCACTTAATGATTTTAACCCACCAGCAACCAGTTATAATCATCTAGATTGATACTTTACTGCCCTCTTATGGTGAGTATCATTAATACAACAGGATTTAGGAAAACCTTAACATTACTGTGTATTCACAATGGCTTCCCCTGACACTTTCCTGTGGGCCCCCCAGTTTGTAAACCCCTGATGCAAGTTGTGATTGGTCCAAGTTTTTATAATGTTTCGTATTTTACGTTATGATTTTAAATACTTTCGATATGGAAGGAAACTGTAATAGTAACTTGTTGATAAAAAAGAAATTGATCTAAACATTATTTTATCTTAAGATATTTCAATGAAATTATACTTATTTAAAAGATAAATTACCATTGTTGTTAAGTTTTTGTAATATAATTTTTTATCTGAAAAACATGATAAATTTTGTGAATGTTTGTTAGAAATGTGTGTTCAGACACTAATATCACAAAACAGTTTTTATAGTGTTTTGATATCATTAAGGTATACCATCATTACTCCTCCCTTTTATCAATTAGAAACTAATATCTTTAGAACATTTTCACAATTAGAACCAAGCCACAGTCTTTCGTGGTCGAGTTTGTTGTTATTTAAGAAAAAAACCTAGTTTGCTTAATTCTCTCATCCCGAGAGAGCCACATATTGTACCAGGTTGAATAACTTTATTTTTTGCCTATTACAATATTTGATGTTAAAAACTTTGTAAAATCACCCACTTATGTGTAAAATTTATGGGGAGCACCGGCAGTAATTAACGGGATTAATTACGATGTTGACGGAGTTTTTATTTTTTTTTATGTATCATTTCTTATAAAGGACCCTGCACCCAACAATGTCGTTAACCCACAAATAAATTGTATGGAAAAATGTGCTTAGCTTGTTCACTGTTATTTGTTCTGGATAGACTTCTCCAGTGCTAGATTAAGAACCAGACATAGTTTAATGGTGGGACAAAATTCCAATCTCTCATGATATTCTCTGAAGAGGAATATGTATGTGACGAGTGGAAAAGCAAATGGGGTTCATATGGACACCACCCATAATTGTAGAGTTATAAAATACAATTTGGCATCTTTCGACCATTGTAAGATACAAGAAAGAGAACTGATGAATCATAATTGGTGATCTGATTATATATATATATTTCTAGTCTTAAGTTCCATTCTCAGACAGCTGAATATCTACACAAACAAAATAAGCTGATGATCGAGGGATAGGGGATTGAACATTCTGTTTATGGCTTTTTAATTTATTTTTTCAGAATACAGTATTTATGAAAGCATTTAAATCATCTTTAGGAAGACCATAGTGATGACCTAAGTTAAAAAAAAAATGTTTCATTTTAGGTATTTTACTAGACAGGAAAATCTGAGAGAAAGAAAAGCTTGTTACTGTATAATTTCACAAACTGGACCTGCTTAGTTATCAAGACACTTGGAGAATGGAGCCTTCACTTGTATTGCATAGTAGTAATGAAACTATTATCACATCGTTTTACTGATAAAACAAAGTATTAGTAATAAAGTCAGTGATAAATAAGACACTGCTGTTTTAATGCAACTCTGATGTGGTTGTGGGTTTATTTTCAGGTTGAAAGGATGAAGTGGGTTTTTTAGATATGGACAATCAGCAGAAAGATGAAAATATTTCACAACTTTATCTTGGTTTTCATCCTGATGACTGGTGGCATATAAAAGATGATGAAAGTAAAAAATCCATGGATTTCAGTGATTCGAAAAAAAGAGACGGTGTTCTCAAACACCTAAACCCTGTTAGTTCACCTGTTAATGGTTTTGATAATAGTCAATTACGTGGTAATACTTATTGTTCAGATGAACTAGAAGGTTCTGATAAGGGTACAGAAAACAGCTTTGTTAACAAGAATAATCCAAATACTTCATGTGATAGTGTAGAAAGCTTACAGTTAAAGAATGTAGAATTGTTACAACAAGAGGATCCACATAAACAGTCAATGGCAAATGTAGAATCGACTGATAAAAAAAGCACGGATGCTATGTTTCGTACCTCTGAACCAAATGAAGATAAAGCCTGTGATAAAGATGTGTGTAATTCTTCCAGTAATGGACAGAAGAAAAGCTGTCAATCTGAACAAGATCAGAACCACGATCTTAATTCAGCAGAAAGTGATTGCACGGTAAAAGAGTATCGGGACGGGTCACGAGAAGAGTTGTCTGTTAAGGAACAGAGCTATAACAATGAAAATTCCTCACACTCTGATCCTGTTAATATTTCAAGGGCACATCTAGAAAAAGGCCTTGTTAAGATTGAGTATCATACAGTAGAAACTAAAGGATTGAATCAAAATACCGATAGTTTAAGTTGTGTAGAAACTGGAGAGAAAATTAGTAGACAAAAAGATGATATTCCTTGTCTGGAGGTGAAAGTCAAAAGTGACCAGGGGAAAGAAAGGTCCGGGAATTTTAATATAGGCACAAAAATACCGTCAGATACAGAAAACAATGTCCCTGAGTCTGAAGAAATAAAATGTGAAAGTGGAAAACCAAACAGAAATGATGGTAACACTAGTTTACCAGATTGTGTTGGTCCAACTGATAAAAACGTAGAAGATTGCCACGAAGTAAAACCTGGAAAGGAGAAATCTAATAATCGGTGTAAAGATAGCTGTGGTGTTAGAGAATCAAAAGATTTAGATGTAGCAAAACAAGTTGAAGAAAATGACGATCATACACCCGAGACACCATCCCTGCAAAATTCTAGTCAGTTCGTTAGCCATGTATCACACAGATCAAACAAAACTTGTGGTTCCGATGTTAGTGCATGTAATTTGAGTAATGTAACAGAAGTAACTTGTTCTTCTACACAGAAGCTAAAAACAGATGACACCTTACCTCATATACCAGAGCTTATGAAATCGGGACTTCTGAAAGACCTCACTATATCTGTAATACCTTCAGAAAAAAATAAAGAGCCTCTAAAATCAACACCAGTAAAACTTCTAGAGGAGAAGCTTAAGGAGAAACCTCAGGAGAATCCACTGCCCCCATTCTTGGAAACTATTTGTGGAAACATAGTTACAGATGAGATGGTGGAAAATATCCTCAAAGTAGCTAAATTTCCTGATTTTTTTAAAGGTGAGGTGACTATTGGTAAGTTTATTCCTGTAAAATTTCCAGACAATTACAACTTTAGGTTACATGAAGATGAAACGTTACTAGAATGTCCATCGATGGTGACTCCTTTACTGTTGAAGAAGAAGGACAAGTTTCCTCTTAAATATGGTGGCGGTAATGAGAAGGTAGAAGATGAAACTGTAAGAAATAAAAAGGATACAAAGACTGAAACTGGCAAAGTGATTGAAAGTTCCAAAAATTTATTAAAGTTTTCCATGGGAAGTGAAAAATTTGAGAAAATGGAGGAAGGCTTTAAGAACAAAGGTAAAGAATCTATAAAAACTACAGTTGGTACTGATCGGAGAGAAAATAAAACTGGGGAAATGAAAGAAGATTTGGAGAAAGCACAGAAAATCTCTGTTAATGCTGAAGAAGGTAAAAAAAATGATGCCAAAAAATTGCCTATTACATCATTGGCTGATGACGAAAACAGAAAGGTCATAACTGAGATTAATGAAAAGGATTCCAAGAAAACAAAAGAGTCAAGTAATGCATCTCTACAAAACAACAGTAAAGTACAGGAAGATAGAAAAGAGTTCCTCACCAATACTGCCATTGGATATCTCACTGCAATAGGTTTGAGTAGAGTCCAAGAGTGGCATCATAAAGATCTGATGAGATCCAAAGAGCGGCACATGCGAAGAGCAGGAAAAACAAAACAGTTAGAAAATGAAGTAGCTATCATTAAAGCTGCTTACTTGCAAGCTAAGAAGGCTAATGAAGCATTTGTCTTTAAAAGCCACAAATGTGGTTTTTGTAACTTTAAGTCAGAATCGATCATTGTGATGGATGGTCATGATTTGGTACCTTACGTGACCCCGCGAAGGGAATTTGGATGTCATTTATGTGAATTCTATACCAGGGACCCCAAAGCAATTCTTTTCCACATGGAAGCCGAACATAGGAAAATGGGTCGGCTACCGGTTCCTTCACAATTCCATGAATGCCCATTTTGTCCGTTTGACACGAATCATAAGCAGAAGTTAAACAGTCACATAAATAGATGTCAAAAATTTTTTATTTTGGGTAAAAATCAAAGCACGGAACTTGATATGCCAGCACAAACAGTTAAACCTATTACAATAATGGACATCAAGGCTTACATGTATGAAAGGCAACTTATGGAGCTTGCGGCAGCAACAAGACGACCAGGACATCCACCGGGGTCAAGAGGAGGCCACAGGACTCAGATTAATGTTCCTAGACCTCGAGCTAATGTTTCCAGACCTTTTATTCCTTCAGACATGTTACCGTATAACCGACCACTTTACCAACATCTAGCAGATAGTGTAACTCTTCAGTCGAGAATGCCGATGAGCTCGTATCCCAGATCTACTAACGTTGTTGCAATAAACCAGATTCCTCAGTCTGCCAGGTCTTCATTGTTTAGACAAGTTCCTCACGCTGTTCCCACGAATCATATTTATCACGTAGTAGGCAGCGGTAATGCAGTTCCAGTATTTAACTCCAGTGGCCAAGCTTCTAGTTGCAGGTCAGTTTCCCAGATGTCAAATGTATCAGAACCAGCTCCCCAGCCAGTGGCACTCTTCACAAATGTAGCCGTTTCTACCGGTGGTACCTCAGCGTCTGCTGTCAACAAAAAAAGTTTACTAAAAGCTGAATTGTCACCGCCACCAAAACTTCAAGGTCCCTTTCTACCCAACAGTGGCAAATCTGCACCAGGAGAAACAATACTTCCCAGTAACAGTTTTGTGATCTGTGAAATCTGTGACGGCTATATCAAAGATCAAGAACAACTACGAAATCACATGCAGATGATACACAAAGTGAAAATCCATCCAAAAATGCTTCAGAACAGACCTCCTCTTAACTGCCAGAAGTGCCAGTGGAGGTTCTTTACGGACCAAGGGCTGGAAAGACACTTGCTGGGTTCTCATGGATTGGTGACGTCTAATATGCAGGAGTTGGCCCAGAGAAGCCAGGATGGAGGACGGTGTACTATCTGTGGACGAGTGTACGTGTGTAAACTGGTTGCTCACATGAATCAAGTGCATAAAATAATGCTGAAACCTGCACATCTGTCATACAAATGCACAGTTTGCACGGCAACATTTAATTTGTATAAGCTTTTTGAAAATCACGTTTATGTAGTGCACAGTGGTTCGGTGAAGAGACGTGCTGAGGATGGTTCCAGTAACCAGCCTTCCAAGAAACGTGCCGGAGACAGGAGTACAAAGACGGTAACTTCAAAAGCCAATCCACGACTGAAGTCAAAGAAGGCAACACCGTCCGTCAGGATGGGAGCGGGAAACGGCAAATCAAAAGTTTCAGCAGCATCGGGAGAGGCCCCAAACGGAAAGGAGCGGAAGTGTGGAGACTGTGGAATAGAGGTTGGTGACATTTTTAATCACATTAAAGAGAAACACATCAAAAATTGTTCAATTCAGGCCTGCCGAATAGAGCAGTGCCAGAAATGTCTGGGTTCCTTTGATGGACTAGGTATTCTTCATACTTCAGACATCGGGCTGTCGGAGGAGTCCCCGAAGAAGGAAGGTGCCCACGGAGTGACGAAGGGAACAGGTGAAAGCACAGACTCCGTGTGAGATCGTGTGGTCACTGTAAGTGATTTCGGGAGTGAGGAGCAGACTGGGACATTGATAAGTGCAACAGAATGTGTTCTAAATTGGCCTCCGATCTGACGAAACCTCACTTCAAACATTGTCAGGTATTGCTAGGTATATTTGTCTGTAGTTTAAATGACCAACCAAATATACATGTTCAGGTTCCATATTTAGTTATTTTTCTTGAAATAGATTGTTTTCTATCTTAAGTATATTCGTTCTTAATAATAAACTAATTTCCTGTTATGTTGTAGCATGTGCCTTTGGGACTTTATCCAGAGCAAGATGTTCATTTGAATATTATCAAAGCATATTGTGACAAAATGTTTTAGGCTTAGGTTACGTCATGTAAATAAACACAAGATAGAAATGCCCATACTTTCTGTATTCACTTCTCAGCCGTTTTGGTTTTGTTTGTATTTCTTAACGTGTGTACAGTCCGCATGGTTAGTGATCATTATCCTTCTTTGATACAAGACACTGAACATTAAATAAGTTGTAAACTGCTTAGATCAATACAAGAAAAGAAGTTCGGTCATGGCATCAAGCGTGCTTTCGATGTATGTTCTTCAGAAAAACGACAACAGTTGTGTGCTTGTCCAAGTTAAGATGCTAAAAAAAAACAACAGGAAATACAAACAGCAAAAATATTTAGTTTCTAGTCTCTAGGTTTGAGTTTATGTTGGAGGATACAGTTAACCTGATGAATTGAAGTATGTGATATCATACTATAAAAAAAATATTACTTTTCTGTAAGTTGAGCTTGATACACAGTGTTGTTATTTATTTAGATACAGTTGACGGAAATGGTTTTATATTACTATAGCTTTTCTTTCTTTTTCTAATACGATAGTTTTCATGGGTTGAAGGAATGTATTTTAAGAACATTTTATTTTTTAAACAGTCCTGTTAAAATGTGAACTATTGTACAGATATTTCTGTTGTATTACTTGTATCCTAAGTTTCTTTGCATGATACTTTTCACTATATTGGAAGGGTAGAGGATTGTCGCTTAGCACTTTGAATCTTGAAATATAAGACTAATAATAACTTCACAACAAATCGTTACGAGTAAAACTGAGAGATTTCTTGAATATCCTAATTCTTTTTTTGAGATAGACACTGTTAACAATATAATTGGAACCGTACGTATATTTCATAAAAGAATTAATATAATAAAATGGATTATTTTCAGTTAACAGTTTTAACTCTGGTTAAAGGACGTTCACTTGAGTCAGAGGTGAAACTAGATAGTTCTTAAATTTATGTATTCGAGAATAAGCCAAAACAGTCTTAGAAAACCATTTCATGAGTTGTGTGTTTTTGAGAAAAATTAACCCTTTTCATTTACAGCATTCTGTTAGTAGTCTTTTTTTATCTTTTGTAAAAAAATTCAATTTTCCTGTGTAAAACATATTGAGAAGACTTGAATTTCATTTAAAAATATATAATAATAGACAATACCTAGATGACAAATTCATATTGATATTAATCTATTTAATGTTACTGTAAATATTGTCAAGTTAAATTAAAAGTAACTTAGATGAACATTTGTGACAACGGAAGTGATAAGCATATTTTCTAACCATACCTACAAAGTAGGATTTAGAATGTATTAACTAGTGTGATAAATAAAGAGACCTGTTCAACCAAGAAAGCAACAGTAATTGTAAAGGTGACACAACGATATGACGTTCAATAAGAAACTTGTCCCTAACAAACCGTGCTTGAAGGTCCAACCACGAGTTC